AATATGACTTTTGCTTGTGCCTAAAATTTCTATTATAAGTCAGATAGCAAGGAAGACATGAAGACAAATGTGACCTGGCTTGATGTCTGCATACGCATACATATTCTATTTTACTTTTGATGCTGATTAATGCGCGAGTTTGGGAGTATCACCAACTTTTAAAATGGCTATGGACATTTTTGATCCTACCTCAAAAACAAGCAGTGTTTGCTAAAGAGGGCCTGTGGCCTATTATACTAATGGTGCAAGGTTCATATACATAAAAAACTTTTTAATTAAAAAATTCTATTTTCACATTATAAAGGAAATATATTCACATTACCAAAAGAGAAAACAGGAAGCAATAAATATGAAAACACATTTCCTACTACTCTACCTCCCTTGCTCTACTTGTTATTTGCCTGTAATATCACCCTCCACTCATGCCCTTCCTAGGAATGACTTGTTCCAATTCTGCATAACCTTCCAGATGTAGCTCAGGACTAAGACTTCCATAGAGTTTTTCCATTTATAAGAGGAAGTAAATCAGATACTGGAGCAATCAGGAAGCCATTTCAATGGCCCATGAAAGATAATGGATCTCGATTTGGGTAGTAGGCATGTGGTGGAAAGAAGCCTTTCAGAGAGGCTCACTCAAGAGGTTGCTACAGTTGGGACAGGGTCCATGGGGAAAGGGGTGAGAAGAACCCATAACTGGTTCCAGAGAAAATACGGATCAGTGTACATAGCAAGCAATAATATATAAGCAAGCTTTAGAAACAAGTTTTTTTTTTTTAAATTCAGGCATCTTAATTCACTATCAAAATTCTCCTCAGACTGTCTGATCCTTTGTCTTTGGATTTTTTAAAATCACTGTGCTAAGCTTTGCCAGCAAGCTCCTCATTCCAGCCCTGGGTCTGAACTTGAGCTTCCCACCGGCCCCTAATCAGCTCTGTTTCCTTCATGCTCTGATGCCTTCAAGTCTGGTACCATTCCCCTGGTTTTTCTCATTTAAAAGTGCTGAGATACTTGTCCAAAAGATGGGCATTAAGATTGTGGTCTGCTTTTAATGAAGTGTAGTGTAAGCCCCTCTAGGGGCAAGGATGTACTATGCTTGAGTAACTTACTTTCCATTGTGAATGCTTCCCTAAAAGGCATAGTTTGTAAATTTCGTTAATATGAAAAGGGAACATTCGGGCACCTTTTCTGTCCTGCTGATGTGTAGGGCTATTTTTATTTTTTGTTCTTCGCTCTTTTTCTGTGCTTGTGATTTTAAAGGTGCCAGACTGACTGCCCTCGAGCCTGTGTCCCCGATTTCTCCCAAGAATAGGAAAAATACGGGAGGCAGCAGAGCTGGTCATGTCTGGGTCCAGCATATTAGCCTGACCCACTCTGGAAGAATGTTCTCCAAATTATAAAGGAGAAGATTGTTCCTTATGAATACAGCCCATCTGCTTTCATAGCTGAGAAGACAAGTCCTTGTTGTGCCAGCACCAAGTTACTGCAGAGGTTTGGGATCTAGTCAAGCCCAGCCACTCATTCCCTTTGGAAAAACCAGAATGTTTTTCTCTTTCCCATCTCCACCTGTCCCAGTTCCATCCTTGAGTTGGGCTCAAATGCCTTTCTCCACAAAACCTTTCTGAGCCCCTCTCACACGTGATTTCCCTCCCACACCTCCATAGCACCTTCCCCTGTGGCACTTGGCACCTTTCCCCATGTGATTGTAGACTGTATAGAGTCTTATAATGATTGTAAAAGGCACTGACATCGTCTAATCCATTTCTGTATATCACACAGAAGCAGAATATAGTACTGGCAAAGAGTAGATACCTGGGGAACGTTTGTTGAACAGAATGAAAATTTAAAAACTTGTCTTTTCTGCCCTTATCTTTCTCTCTAGTCAGTGACTGGGATTCTCTCCCATATCCTCAGGGATAGCTAGCAAACTTTCCATAAACTATGTAGACTCAAGATCTTGGCTTCCAGAGACTCTACTTCGGGCCAGCCATGGTCTGGGTCAGATTTGCTACCTCCAGCTGTCTTATAGACCACCATGACCAGTAGACTGTAACATTTAGCCAGAATTTTTTTCCCCCGAGGTGTGGTCCACACATCACTAGTAGTCCCTGATGGACTCTCAAGGAGCCCAGTTTAAGGTCTAGAATGGGAAAGAGTAATAAATAAAAATAATTCTGTTGACCTGAATTTAACAGATTTGAAATGTAAAATTAGAGTTTTCACAGGGATCCAGTATGCTCTTTTTTTAAAAGATTTATTTATTTATCTTAGAGAGAAAGCAGGGGGAGGGTCAGAGGAGAGAATCTTTGAGGGGACTCCCCGCTCAGCACAGAGACCAACACAGGTCTTGATCTCATGACTCATGAGATTGTGACCTGACCTGAAACCAAGAGTCAGATGCTTAAACAACTGAGCCACCCAGGCGCCCCAGGAATCCAATATGCTCTTAATAATCATCACATTCTTTTTTTTTATTTAAATTCAATTAGCCAAGGTATAGTACATATAATGTTCAGTGATTCATCAGTTCAGTATAACACCCAGTGCTCATCACATCACGTGCCCTCCTTAATGTCCATCACATTCTTAAAATTTGCACATATGTCACAAACCTCTGTTGATTGGTGTTGTTTGACCAATGTTCACCAACAGTGCCATTCAGCTCAGAGTATTTTCATGTCATTAGTATTTTTTCTGCTGCTCCTAAACCTGTATTTTTCATTATTACTATTGTATTGCATTATCCTTTAGTTCACCAAAACAGATCAGTGATTTCAATATGATTCAGTGACAGCAGGAAAAATAGTAATAAAGATAATACCCCCAAATACCACTTTGGATTAATATTAAAAATGTAAATTTTGGTGAAAGAGGATTCCAATATAAATATTGGAAGTGAATCTGTAAATTCTAAGACAAATGTGATAAGTGTGCACAAGCAGTTGTAAAAGAAAAGTTTGAATACTGAGTATGATGATGACTCTTTAAAAAAAATAAGACTTTATGAATTGGTGATCCATTTGCCTATAATTGCAGGGTGTTTTCTGTGATAAAATGACAAATAGTGACATGAAACTTTGAGGAGTGTAGCATCAAGTTCAAACATAGCACAGTGAACTTTTTAGTAAACCAGTTAAGCTGTTGGGTTTTTTTTTTTTTTTTTCCTGAATAATCGCAAAACAAGTGCCATATGCAATAACCTAATTTTGTTACTAAAGGCAATTAAAGTCCACAATTTCAAAGGCACCTTTCTAAAGTTATACATCTCATGATAAAAACAGGTACAAGTTAGGCGCCTGGGTGGCTCAGTTGGTTAAGTGACTGCTTTTGGCCAAGGTCATGATTCCAGGGTCCTGGGATCGAGTCCCACATCGGGCTCCCCCCTGCTTTGTGGGGAGCCTGCTTCTCCCTCTGCCTCTGCCTGCCACTCCCCCTGCTTGTGCTCTCTGTCAAATAAATAAATAAAATCTTAAAAAAAAAAAAAAAACAGGTACAAGTTAACTCTTGGGAAGAAGTTTATAAAACAAGCCACAAAGTTTATTACAAAAGTTTTTATCAAATATCAAGAATATGATATCAGAACTTTAGAATATCACCTACAGTGGAGGCAGCTCAGTTTCCAAGAGTTTAACTCTTTTTCCAGTACTGATATTTCTTATTCCTTAGGGGGAAAATGATCTGTAGTTTGGGTTATATTTTAAAAATACGTTCAAGTCCTGCAACACAGCATATAGAAATATTTTCCAGTGCCAATGCAACCAGAGAGGATCAGAAGTATGTTTGCCTCTTTTCTCCCAAGTTGAAACATTTAGCCCTCCTCTTTGTAGGTGTGAAATGATTGTCAATCCAATGTGATGGAGTGCTGAAAGCAGTCTTCAGTGAGAAATCTCCCCATAATGTCAGCTCTGTGTTCAATCCCGATGCACAGAATGAAGCAGAGGCCAGACAGCATAGTGCTTAAAACCATGGACACTGAAGCTAGACTACTTAATTTTGAGTTTCATTAACCATTTTTGTGACTCAGTTTCCTCATCTGTAAAATATGGACAAGAGCAGACCTGTGACATAGGTGGCTGTAAATATGAAATGAGTTAACATGTCTAAAAGCACCTTGAAAATGCCTGGCACAGGGGAAGCACTAGGTTTGCTACAACTTATGTGTTAAAGTCCCCAGATTCTTGTTGACATTTCCAGTGACCTGTAATTATTTGTTAAGGCTTTCTACTTATGGAAGTAAAGAAGAAGAAGGAAAACTGGATGTGGATCTGACCTCTGGCTCAAGATTCCCATGACAGAACCAGATAGAGATACAGACTGCAGCCCGTGCAATGCCTCACCTGACATAAATATTTGTCTTCAGTTGTTTTATTGTTCCTATTTAAAACAACAAATTTTTTGAAGCCCAAATCGGATGTCCATATGTGGTCCAGATGCCTCACAAATCAGTTTAAGAATGCTGAAAGTTTACAGAACACTGGGCTGGACGGTGACAACCAGGACCATCGGGACTCGAAACCCTAAAGTCGGTGGAACTGTTGCGGGTTTCAGGGATGTTCAAACTAGGACCAGACTTGAAGGCAATACTGTGTAAATTGTAATAACTTAAAGGATGTCAGGTGTAAGAGATGAGACGTGTTTCACGAGGCCCTAGAAGACAGAACTGGAAGAACCGGGTAGCAGTTAGCTTGAGGAAGCAGTCTGGCTCAATATGAGACAGAACTTTCTAGCAGTCGGAACTGTCGGGAAATAAAAGGGACTCCCTTTTGATCTATCACTGAGGGCTGGATGCAGAGATTTTACAACCTGGGCTTTTCTGAGAGGAGTTGGAGTTTGACTTTTTACCCAGTTCCCTCACAGTCTAACTGGACACGTAGACTCTCCAAGCAGAAAGACTTTCCTGGACGTGCCTTCCACGGCTCCCTTGCTGAGTCATGTTCCTCTTACACTTGGTGGGAGATTAGAGGCACAGCCCTGGCCTCGACCTCAGGAGACCTGAGTTCTACTCTGTCCCTTTCTGTAGGTCCTTGAGCCGTGAGGGTCAACTCCTCAGATGCCTCATGGAAAATCCCCATCATGGCGGCCGTACTCAGGCCCGGGGTGGCTATTCCGGTAATCTTGCTCCTGGGACGACGGTGGTGGTGGTGTCAGTCTTGCTGCTGCTGTTGCCATTATGAGTCGGCTGTCTCCTCCATCTTGGCTTCCGTCCTAGGAGGACTGAAAGCGTTCCTTGGTGTGTTCTTAGGAGTCAATCCCTTTTGTCTTTCAGGCCGCTGTGCTCGCTGTGGGGAGAATGTCGTTGGGGAAGGGACAGGATGCACTGCCATGGATCAGGTCTTCCACGTGGACTGTTTTACCTGCATCATCTGCAACAACAAGCTCCGGGGACAGCCCTTCTATGCAGTAGAGAAGAAAGCTTACTGTGAGCCCTGCTACATTGTAAGTTCACATTCTGCTCTGCCACTCCCCCGGTGCTTTGTAAAGATGTCTTCTCTGGCAGAATGCCAGTCACTCCAAATAGAATGTAGCCAGCCGATCTCTATCTCCCCAGATTCCAATGTGTGTGTGTGTGTGTGTGTGTGTGTGTGTGTAGATTGACATATCTTAATTTTTTCCAATTGTCCCCTGTACGTATGAGGTCAGAAAGGCATGTTAGGAGGATCTGCTCATTATCAATTAGTGGTCTGCAGGGAAGATCATCCCCTCGGGCCTTTCAAGGGTGTATGTACAAGCTTACACACAGCCCCCTGCACAGCAGAAGGTTTCCCAAGTGGCATAGTTGTACCTCTTGTTATTAGGTCCCACCCTGCATTTGAAT